ACAGAACTTCACCCGCTTCATTATCTCTCCTTGCCTTCATTCTCTTTTCAGGCTACACCATTAGAGCTCAACCTCATTCACCCGCCATCGAAGCTCTCACCGCCATGAGAATGTATATGTTTTTCTGGCAAGACATTGAAGAAAAAGTTCTGGAGACTGGACGTGGAATCCATAATGAATCCATTCAACATTATGTGAGAAACGATAAAGTTTCATATCTCCACCGAAAACTAAGTGATCTAGTCAAAGCTCGGAAAGCCCGTTGGCCAATCGATTGGAGTTATTTCCAACATCACCGAGAATCCCCTGAGTACTCAGAATTCACTTGTGTCTCTCCCGCTCCATCACCTCTTCCATCATCATCATCTTCATCATCAACTTCATCAATCGATGAACCAAAATCTCATTTCACCCTATTCAAAATCGTAGACCCTCCGAATCAACCAAGAAAAGAAAACAATCATCCCGTAGCCTATCAGCTCGGAAATAGCAAGAAAACTTATTCATTGGTCTCAACCAAGGAAGTGAAAAGCCCCTCACCGAAAATTCCCTCAATCTCATCTTCATCATCATCTTCTCCGAATTCAGCCCTAGACAAGAACTTTCAAATTAGTTCATTAATCTCTGATCCACCTTCAACCTTTGGTTCTCTCAACAGCTCTCAAGATCCAAGGAAAAATCCCACCAAGCCCGACTACTCCGACTTCTTCCATTACACACCCACCGGTTCATTACCTCCGTCCCCGAATCCATCACCACCAAATCAAAATAGGATTCCAAAACCCTGAAGAAGTATCTTCATCAAAGTGCTGGGGACTGAAGGTGAAAAAACATGAAATCCTCAGTCTTTCCTTTTCATCACTATTATGATTTGGAAACAAATTTAAAACTTTTCTAAATTTTTTCTGTTCTCAACAATTAGTTAATTGTTGTAATTTTCTTAATTTCAATTCTTAAATTTCCCCATTGTTAAAATTGGTTAACCCACTCCCATAACTATAGTTATAATTTTCTCAATTGTTAATTCAACAAATCAAATTGATTAGAATCCTAATTAATTGATCTAAATAATTAAGAGATTATAATATCCCAACTTAATTAACCAATAATAATTAATCAAAATTTCAATCTATATCTCAAGATATAATTATAGATGAAGTTAATTAAAATAATTAACTGAAATTTCTTAATTGTATTAACCTAAATCTCTTCATCTTAAGATGACCAAAAATTGGTTACAAAAGTAAGAGACCCGATTTTCTCTTTCTCTCTATCTTTCTTTTTACTTTCTTTTGTTTTTAGGAAGATGTATTGTTAAGCCTACAAGCATCTTTAGTTCATCTTTATCTTAACCATTTCGGTTAACCATATTTTTCATCATTGTCGAGACATAAGACAAAAAGTTACTTTGTAATAATTGTTTAACCTCATCACTAATGTGATTAATTTGGTTAATTTGATTTAATTGTGTTCCCCCAATTTAATTGTTACCCCTTCCTCATCATTAATTGATTCCCCTTTAAATTGTTACCCCCTTGTTCTTTATTCTAAAAAGAACTAATTTTCCTTTGTTCTTTAGTCGTTGTGATTTTCCCAACTATTCAAGTTGATCTTATTTTCTCTACAACGTACTCTAATTAAAATTTCAATTAAGTTCCATCTAAATCTTTAACAGTTAATGTTTAATTGTTACCTTGAATTCTAAAGAATTATCGAGTTTAAATGCAAGTGCTTAACATTGAGATCAATAGATCAGTAAGTAAAGTGAAGTGACACAATCCTAAAAGAATCTTGTATTCGGTAAATTTTGTGGGACCGAAAATCTTCTGTTTCCCTTCCAAGCCTAAAGACTTAATCTGAGTTTCATCTCAATCCATCCGAGTTTCATCTCAATCAATCTGAGTTTCGTCTCAATCTTAATCCATCGATCTAAGTGATCATCTAAACCTCATCATCTCAAATTTTCCCCCACAATGATGATGATTACCATGAAATACCTTACCCTGAATTTATATATACTCACTTAGTGTGTTGATGAAAAATGAGTGTCAATCGTGTCAGTGATTATTCAGATGTATATTATAGACATAATGATAAATGAATAATTTTTTTCTCTTTTTTTCTTCTTGAAATTTTCAGAGAATTGGAAAGAAGAAAAAAAAAGTTTGGTGTGAAAAGAAAAGCAAAGACTCGATATCGAGAAAGAAATTGAGAAAATATCATAGAGAGAGAGAGAGAGAGAGAGTTGAAAAGTTCTGAACTTTATATATATGGAATATACTTTGATATTCAATTAGATTATAATGATTCCGACTAACACTTAGTAAATCATGAGGATAAAAAGGTTAGGTAGATTTGTAGATTAACGGTAAATCATAATGAATGATCAACAATAAGCGATAACAATTTATTGGAAATTCACTTTTGTCCGAAAATTGAATTGAATTGAATTTCCATCAATTCAATTGTAAAAACCAATGTTCACATAGGAATTTATTCCAACGTATATTCATGAATTTACATTATAATTGAATTCCATGTTTATTATTATTACTCTTTCTTAACCCCTTTTCATATATATATCTACGCATATATATATAGATTTATATATAAGTGGATTAATTCCCTAGATGAAATTTCCAGAATACATCAAGTTGTCCAAATTGTGGCTCAAGATCAAATCAAAATAATTATCACAATGAAGATGATAATGATTACCAACAATGAGAAGGAGAGAAGAAATTCTTATCACCTTCAAGTTCATCATCTTCTTGGAATAACTTCTTTACCCTGTTTACCACCACCAACTCATTGAGTCACATTTTTTCCCCATCGATTATCGATTAATTCAAAGAAAGAAAAGAAAGAGAGTGAAAAATTATATTCGACATAATTTCGTCCTAAACTATTACCATTATTGTGTTTGTACCATTTCCCCCTGGAACAACATCCTTCACCTTTTCCAGTTTCTCCTTCACCCGAAAGTTAAACATACGAAGGAAAATATTACATACACAGAATCACTTTAACTAATATACTATTTACCTGAATTTCCTCTGAAATCATGATGAATCTATTAATGGTTCGTAATACTATTCAGCTATATCAAGCCAACGATAAACATGATGAAAATATCATCATCATCATCATCTTCAATCTGAACCTCAACTTTTTACCTTCATGTGAACCTGAACACGAGAAGAAGAGATAATAATATTATTATTACTCTTTTTCTATTTAATGAAAAACAGTTAACATCGAATCAGATGATGATAATTCTGACTCAATTCTAGCTTATAGAATTCATTAGATTATTCTAATGAAATATCTATGAGAAAATATCTATCTACCATTTGAAGAATAACAATTTTCTCCCCTGTGATCATTTTCATGAAGGACGAAGAAGCAGAAAAAAAACTGATATGTTACTTAAAAATTCATAAAATAAAGATGAAAATGTGGAAATGTAAATGTCACAAGTAAATATTTTTCTCCCTGATGATAAAATATTCAGATACAATTGGATATTTATCATGAACGTCAGAATTCATGGCAATTGTATTAAAGAGAGTAAATAATTAAACAATCAAAGTAGATCAAAAGTTGTGATGATTAACAATTCATTGTGATGGGAGTGAGGAGGCAAAAAAAAAGTTCTGTAGGTTTGATGAGAGAAACAGAAAAAAACTCTTCTGATTTCAGGGTAAAGATTCAGATGAAGATTCTCAGGAAATTTCCATGTATTTTTAATGGTAAATTGAATATGATTTGTTTTGTTACCTTGTTACTTTTTTTCCCTCTCGTTCGATTGTTATTTCTGTTATTTTGTCTTCTTTTGTTAAATGTAATCATAATTATCATGATTAAAGTTCACTTGAAAATAAATTGTGATTCCATGATAATTTAACAGTTTTCTCCGTGTTTTATTGTTCAGAATTTTCTGTGTTCATGTAGCATTTTCCCAATAGAACGAAAAACATGATAAAAAGAGAGAGAAAAAAATTCCAAATTTTGTTTTGTTTTCTTTTTTCATTGTTGAGACTGAACTTTTACTTTCTCTCTCTCTCTCTCTTTCGTTACTCTTGTTTATCTACTTCCATCATGATGCATTAACATGATTATCGTCAAAGCAAATAAGAGAAACATGATTGAATTCATCTGAGAAACTTTTTCTCAACCAGAATTCTGCAATTCTGTCATTTTAGATTTAGTCACAATGGCTTAGAACCAAGAAGAAGGAAAAAGTTTCTTTCGAAAAGGTAACTTTTTCATTCTAACAAATTGTTCGTACATGCGTTTCAACCTTTCGATTATTATTATTATTAATTTATTATTCACTTGAATCATTAATTATTAACCATAATCATCAACCTAAGTGGTAATTGTTTTAATTGTTGGTTAAATTGATAATTTGATGATAACAAACTTTTCGTGTTGATTAAATTTAGTTGACGCTCTCAAACGAGTATTATTATAATAATAATAAGTTAAGTGTTTATCTTTCATTTAGTATTATTACCAAAGGATAAGATTAAGATTAAGGATGAAGGATGATAATGGGTGTTGGTAATAGTGCTTAAAATTAACATGGAAAACTGCCAACATTTTGTAAGGGAAAATATAAAGGATATGGATTAGGATTTTGATTAGGATGATATTTGAAAGATGAAAATAGAAAAACAAAAAGTAAAGGCAACAGATGATAAGGATGATAAAGATGATAAAGATAATTAGAATCAAGGTCTGTGCCATACTTGATACTCTTTATCCACTTTATTAGTTGATATTAAATTTTCATGAGAGAAATAAACTTGGCTGAACTGATTTTAGAACAAGAAGAACAAGAACAAAAATGAATTTCGAAAAATGATAAATTCTCTTTCTCCTTTTTTTTCACCCATATCGTGATCTATTATATTGAGAATTTTTGGGGAGATCGGTCTTTAATTGTATTAATTGTAATCGAAATTGGTTAATTGGAAAACTTTTTTTTATCGAACCTTTTTTAGTAAATCTTCAGCTCGGGTTAATAGAGCGTCCAGACTTGCACGATGAATGAAAACCTTTCGTGATTGAATTTTCCGGTGGAAAGTTTTTTCTTTCAGTCCAGTTCCCAGGTTTCGACTCAGGCACCTTGACACATCCCCATGAATTTGAGAATCAACTTCAACCTCTTGAAGCAACAACTCCCATAGAGTAAATAAGGCAGAAGGAAATGAAGATCTGATCAAGTGAACGTGAGAAAAAAATAAGAAAACAATATAAACAAAAACTAATGTAATAATAATCGTTAAGGATATTATTAATAATTCGTTAGTTAGGTTGATCTTTCAATCGAATCTTTTTTAAAGTAAAATTTTTCGATCATTAATTCAAGTAACAATGTTTCCAATATCATATAATGGATCATTTGAATAACACCAAGGGCAATATGTCACCATGATTTCTTTGGAAATGGCTCAGAATTTTCCAAACCATTGGTTAGAACTTTTATTCTTACCTTTCTTTCCGTAGGTCAGCATTTCGTTTTCTGAAAGCTTCAACCAGAATTTGTAAATCGTCAGCATGTCGCTCATGAATTGCTGAAAGTTGCTGGGTAAAATCAGCGACTGCAAATACTAACGGGAAAAATGGATCAGCGTCTTGATTGTGATTAGACCGAGAATTCATAACGATAGTTTAATTCACAATCAACTTAATCAACTAGAGACACGAACACTTTTCAACACTTAATTGTCCAGAAAGGAAGGAAGAAAAAAGAAAAATAATTAAACTAACTAAACCAAACTGTTGATTTTATGATGATTATAAAGTCAATTGTATCATGTACAAAATCCAACAATTAGTTGATTGTTACTTTCCAATGGATTGAGATGTTAATTATAAGTTGATAAACATTTTCAATTGATGATTAAAGTTAATGATGACACTTGAATTGAGAGAGAAGATGAAACAAAATTGGAAACTTATTCGTGATTGATTTTGTATTTGTCACCATCAACAGGGTGGAAAATGGCTGAGCAATTATCGTTTCTGTCTCTTCACTTGTTTAGTAACTCATAGTGAATAGAGATAAATGTTCAATTCGAATGCTGAAATCTTCTCCATGAACTGAACAAAGAACAAAAAATAGAAAATTTTCTTCGCAAGTAGTGACACCTCTTTACGAATAATTTCAACTAATATTCTCTACCAAAAGTAATCGATATCGAAGATGATTTTCGAATAAAGAACTTTTTTTCTTTTCAATCAATGAAATTCTTATCTATTGTTTACTAATCGAATGAATTTTGAGATAATTTGGAAATCAATTAATTCGATTGATATTTGATAGTAAATCATTTTAGCATTTTAATTGGAAACATTTTCTTACTCAAATAGTGTTTACAATATTGTAGTAATTGGCAGTTTAATTATTGATAGAAAGTGGAAAAGGATGAGTGAGTTAATTGTTACAATTGTTTAGTCAACAATTAAGGACAATTTTGATTGTGATTTCATAGGGAGAACCAAATTTTTGAACTAATTTTTTAACATAAAAAAGTTTCGATCAAAACAATCACAGAGATCAAATTGGTTAATTAGTTAATCGTTTAGACATTTACACATATTAAGAGTCGAGTTTCATTGAGGTAAATCAATTTCCATGATTATCTAATAAATATTACAAATCAGTAAAATTGTGATTAAAAAGTTAAATTAAACTTTAAATTGTTGTAAATCAAATGAGATTAAAGAGTAATTGAAAATCACAGGGGGATAAAGATGAGAGTTCTAATCACATTTAAATGAGAAAATTTCAACAAATTTACATGGTAACGAATCAATTTCTCTCTTTCTCTCTTTTAGACGATTTGATTGTTTACAATTAGATTACAATTTGATTCAATTTACAATTTAAAATGAGAAAACAAGTTAACAAATTGTTTCATATTACTATTAGATCGTAAATCTTGTATTATTATAGCCAATTGTTGATATAAAGTTTTTCTTTGTTGCATTTTCAGTCTAATTGATTAAAATGTTAATTGTTGTTGTGAGCAGTTTATTTATTATATTAAATTGTTATTGGTTCTTGAATAATATTAAAGGTATTCAACAATATCGCACTTGATTGATGGATATGATGAAAACATCGGCCAATAAGGTGATGCATGATAATCAGAATTTGGATCAGAAGGATTAACAGGATTGATATTTTTCTTGGTCAATTGGCTAAGGAACGGAAATACAGGGTGAACAAGTAATGTCCCTTTTGAAAGGCTAACAGAACCATTGTCAACCAAACTGACCACATTATTATTGTTATTACTATTGTTACCATTGTGACCACTAGGATGACCACCAAGTTTACTGGTCTCAGGTTTGTAGGTTATGGCTGAAAGGCTTTTGGTCCGTCGAGGATTGAAATCTGGTTTAAATGATTGGTCACTTTCTGTGGATGACCAACAGAAAAAGAAAGAAAGAAAGAGAGAGAGAGAGAGAGAGAAAAGAAAAAAATAGATGACCAGTTAGGAAAATTTTCATTTTCTTTTGTTTCGACAAAAATTTGGAGCAAAATTTACCTTCAGAAAGAGTTGCTGTTTGATCACCTTTCTCGGTATCGTCTTCTTCACATGATGAACAGAAACCATTATAACCTTGACCATTTGAGTGACCACCATGAAGTGAAGCTTTTATTGCCATTGAGTAAGAGGTTTCATCACATATTAAATTATTATGAGCAAGTAAAACTTTACCACCAGTGGACAAGGTCAATGTAGGTGTTGTCATAGGTGAATTAGAGGTCAAGGTTTTCATCTGTTCAACAGGTAAAAGACTATCGGAATTTGATATAATGTTTATCGGTAATTGTGTATCATTTACGTTGATTATTGTGCTTTTCCTATGGACTTTTTCATTTTCCGCATCTTCATCACTTTCATCGTCATCATCATCATCATCATCGTCATCAGCAATAGCATCATCTGATAGTTCATAATCATCTTTGACTAAATCACTAGGAGTTGATGAGGTTGATGGTTTTTGAAGTTTATTACCATTATCGTTATCAATCATGTCTTTAATTGTTGAACTAAATTTAGAGTCAATTGAGTTGACCTTACGTCGACGGACATTATTATTATTGCTACTATTATTATGGACATTTGTTGCTGATCCAGTTATCGATGAATCGTCATTACTATTACCAGTCAATCCTCCCCCTGCCCCTCCTCCCACTGAACCACGACCCTCCCCACCTTTTGGAAGCTCTGGACATGAATGGTTATGAGATTTACGATTAGAATGATTTCCAATCGATGAGATTAATTCTTCGACTGATCCACTGACCAACGATATTGATGCTGATAGAGAAATGAACGATGTGTCTTTTTCACTATAAAAACAACAGAGAGAGAGAGAGAGAGAAAACAATTAGTTCATTAATCAACAATTAACTATCACCATCCGAATTTGAATATAATGTTCAAAATGTAAATTTCCCTTCACCGTTTACAGAAAACAAGCAAAAAAAGCTCCATTCACATGGTTAATTTACATGATTCACCTTAATTGTTACTGTTGGAAAGGGTTAATTCTCGGTAATCATCTTAATTACCCTTAAATGAATTTTTCAATTATCCTTGATTAGATTTTACAACAATCAAAGAAGAGAAGGAGAAGGAAAAAAAAATTTTCGTCATTAGATTATAATGATTCTAATCGATCTAATCACTTGAGGTAGAAAATTTTTTTTCTCTCCTCAAACTTAACGGATTTAATCATGGAAATGGTTTTGACTTTTTTCTTTGCCTTTTCTTTTCTTTTTGTTCAACATGAACTTCTGAACTCGATAATAAATTATGAATTCAGATAATCAAGGTAATGATGCTCATGGTGATGATTATGGTGATGATGATTACCTTCGGGTGAACGTTGATGAATCTTTCTCAGCTAATAGAAGGCAAATTTGTTTATCAGCTGAAAGCTTTTTAATCCCAGGTAAGAGATTAGATCCTGATGAGGAAGAGCAAGTAACTGTTTCGGTAACTGTAGTTGTTGTTGTGGTTGAAGTTGAGGTGATGGTGGAAGGTAATGTTCTCGGTGGCTCCTTAGGTTTTATTATTATTTCCTCGTTATTTGTGCCCATTTCTATTCCATATTGTCGTAATCTGAACATGAGAGCTTCGAGTTCAAATGTTTTCTTTGGAGAAAGAAAACAAAAATTAGTAAAGAAAATGGAAAAGAAAGTTCATTTTCAGAGATTTTTCTCTTCTCCTTCAGGGGATCAGTTTTCTATTTCTTTTTCTTGTTAAGTTTCCTATCACTTTCATGGTGGAAATCTTGTCAAAAGAGGAACAGGAAATGACCAAGAGATGAGTAAAGTTCAAGAGTTTCATGAAAATTCAATTTATAAAAATAACTTTTCTTTCAATTCTTGAACATTGACATTTATTATCTTACATGGTGAGAGACAGTGGCAGGGGAGATTAAGATTCAGGTAGAAAGAGAGAGAGAGAGAGGAGTTAGGTGATATTGAGGTGATTCTAATTCAATTTGATGGGAGACAGAGGAAGTGGGTGGTGTTTCATGTAATTTCAAATGTTCATTGACGCAGGTAAGTGTAAATATATGTCAACATGATCATTTCAATTTTTCAGCTCTTCATGTTGTTGATAATATTGAAACTAAACCCTGAAGGTGATGGAATAAATTTTCCTTTCTCTCTTCTTTTTCCTGTCAAAAATGAATCAGGAATGACAATGACGATAATCATGATTCTTTTGATCATCTTTATCGTCCATCTTGACCTTTAATATCTTGGAAAATTACCTCTTTTAACCTTTGCCGTTGTCGAGTATTAAATTCGGTTAGAACTTTGATTCGTTGATGAAGCTCCATTTCATCTGATTCTTTCCTCGATTTTTTCAATGGCTTCAAGGTTGGACGGGATCTTCTCTCATCCATATCAGGATTACGCTTCAATTCAATCAGCTAGAGAATTAGAAAAAATAGTAAAAGGTCAGAATTTTCCTCAAAAATCCATAAAGTGTAAAGGTCAGAATTTTCTGTTATTCCATAAAAAATATTAATCATTATCAGTCAATGAGAATAGAAAAAAAAAATATAAAAGAAATTCAAATTATTATTATTATCAAGGTTGATTGAGAAAAACATGAAAGGAAACTTTAGTCAGATGGACATTGAGGTCAGTACAGAAAACAGAAAGTAAGCCATGCAAGGTAAGGTCAAAGGGTAAAGGACATTTTCCCAATTCAAAGATTCAAATGCTAATTAGTTATGATATTTACACATAGAGAGACGATAACAAATACGATAAGTTGATTGAAAACAAACAGAAACATTGATCTAATTATTAATATTTTTGCCACAAAAACACAAGGTATAAGCGTAAGCAATCAAATGCAAAGCAATTAGCTAACTAAAATTAAGTTAATTGTTTGGTTTATAATAATATTACAGCCAAGTGGATTGGTATACATGTACTAATATATAAGGCATAATATTGAGAAAAAAAAACTTGTTGATTAAGATTAATGATAAAAAGTATATCAAATGAGCTCAATAAACTTTTTTTTCTTAATCCTCATCAATCATCACTAAGCTTCAATGTCCAGTAAGAATATGCAAAGTATCAACTGACCACTAGAGTATCAGCAGAATTGACATCTAGATGAATATACAGTTTTTCCCTAATCTTTCTGAACCATTTCCATTTCCTGATTTCCATGAAAACTGAATCAATTGTATTATTATCAGTCAATAAACTGAATATTTTTTTTTATATTCTAACATGAAAATATGATATTGATATTCATTCATTGTCAGCATTTTTTTGAGTCTTATTATTATTGCTTATGCTTTTTTCCTTATGTGATTGTTGTTGCTTTTTGCCTCTTCATTTTTTAAGCTCATCATTTAGTTTGATTAGTTAATTGTTGCTGTTTAATCTTTGAAAATGAAAAATGATATCTTACCAATCTTACCTTGGGTACAAACACCAAACAAAGGGTGGCAGTTGAACAGAAGATTATAAATATTGATATAATAACGAAAGCAGCATCTTGTTGTTCCTTGAGTACGAACGAGAGTCCAGCACCGATTACGCACATAATGACCACATTGTAAACGGACATTCCAATATATTTGGAGTCATTAAGAGCAGGAATTGAGACATGACGAGTTTCCCAAGCAAGAAAACACCCGAAAGCCTAAATGAACCCAACGAAAGGTGAAAATTGAATCAACTTTACAAACATCAAAACTTGATCGAATCAAATGTTGACCATACTGACCATTAAAAGTCCTTTATAAACATAGATTGACCCAAGGAAGATGGTCATTTTCTTACTATCACAGAATTCCATTTGAGGTACAATATGAACATCTTCATTTTCGGGTGAAGGCTGAACAAAAGAAACAAATAATTACACCATAGGAACTTATTCATATCAATAAAATAATAATATTTACCTTCGGGATTCCTGAATGGGTTCCCCTGTAAAAAGGGTCAACGATTTGCCAAGTGGTCAAGGTAGCAACATCAATGAATACAAGTATACCAACGACCATGAATAGCTTGTAATCTTTAATAACCTATGGTTAATAATTAGTTATTAACATATTAATAGATTGATTAATTAGTGTTGATTGACCATAAGAAAAACAAAGTAACATAATTAAAGGGATATGATGGTCACTTAGAAATGGTTGATCAGTCTATTAGTGATTACATATGATACACTTGACATTTGAAAAGGTTATCATAATCAGTATCTCTATGGCAATCTAATCATAAGTAAGATTAATTTTCTAGGTGATTAAAGTTGATGAAATTAAATGAATCGGGTGATTATTAGATTTACCTTTTTATTTAATTTGATATTGGTGAAAATTGCATGAACCCTCCAAGTTTTACTGAACATTGATCCAAAGGCAAGGGTAAAACCGGACATTAGAACCCAAGATCGAGCCTTAATTTGGTGTAATGAGCCAAAACAAAGGGATTAATAAATCAATGGATCAAATAAAAGTGACCATTTACTTACAGCACAAATGTAGGGGAAATTGGCTTCACTTAAAAGGCGACTGTCCAGTCCCAATAGTATCACACTGGTATAAGTTAATATGCATCCGATTATAATTAAATTGTTCAAATAAGGACTGGACATTTTGATATATCTGGTGAGAAAAATATGAAACAATGGGATCAATTTTTGTTTTCATTGACCAAACCAAACTGACCAGTCTCATGGTCAGTTATTGATATATATATATAACATTTTCTCGGGAGTGATTACCTTTGTTTACGATATTTAATGTTCATTGAAAGGAAGACCAAGGCAAGGATAATTCCCATTACGGCGAAAACCGATATCACAATAAAAAGGGTAAGGCTAATTCTTGAAGCGACAGTTATTTTAATTATCTCATCTACAGGAGGTCCACTTCCGCCTGGTCAGTTGACGATAGTTTTGTATTGATGTAACAGGTAAATTGTTGATGAAATTGATATGAGGAAACAAAGATCAATATTCAGTTAGTGATTGATTAATATGTGAAAATGGTGATCAAGTTTTTATCGAAAATTTTTCTCCTCTAATTTAGTAAATATCGATGAATGAATAATATGAAAGTATTGGTCAACTTGACCAATACAATTTGGAGAGAGAAAATTTTTTTTTCTTGTATTTTCTGTTTACTCAATTAGCTAATGAAGATTAATGGTCATTTTTGTCTTGTAAAGGTTGTTGTTGTTACTATTTTATCAAACTGGACACTGGTCAGATTGGATTATCAATATTGTATCATTTGGTTTGTTTTACTTGTTATTATCAATTGTTTACCCAAATTCAATGGATGTTGATAATAAATCAATTTTAATTGTTTACCAATGTCAACAAATTGTTTTTATGCTAATAATCAATGGTCATTTTAATCATAACTTATTGACCATCGTCATTAATTTAACTATTTAATTGGTCAAGTTTTAAATCTGGTTTAGTCATTTGCTTTTGACATTTTTTATTACTTCAAACTGACCATTAAACTTAGCTTACGTTTTCATCACTATTACTGGTCATCACTAGATAATAAATCAAAACTGACCATTGGGTAATAATAAATTGACCGTTGCACTATTTGAAATTAGTCTGATCAACTGAACTTGAGTAAATATTGATTAACTTTTGTTAATTTAAATTATTTGTTTGTATTATTTAAAACCTTAGGAAATTGGATGCAACAATTTAAATGGTTTTGATTATTATGTTTGATATTTACTTTGACCACTGGTCATTTCAAGGTTTTTTTTTACTTTTTTTAACTTTTACATTTTCATTATATTCGTGACTGAATTGATGATGAAATTATTTCCTTCAATGGATTTCAATTACATCTTAAGCTTCAGAGATTGAAATGTTGACCCTTTCATGATGTTCATCTTTTATCATGGTAACTATTTCCGTATCTGAATTAACTTTTTCTTCAATTTTTTCCTTCTTTTCTCCATGAGGTTTGTTCATTTTGTGATGAATAAATTCAACACTTTCTATAATGGGAATCGAATGTATTCACCGGAATCTTATTCGAATTCACAGAACTTTTTTTTTACCTTTTTTCTCTGATTGAGTTTCCGGAGTAACTCATTGAAAGTCTCTTGTCATTAGAAACATGTCAGTAAGAATCAGAATAGAATGATAGCCAATAGAAGAAAAAAGATTCTATCTAAATGCTCAGCATGTTATTCAGGTTCTTACACCGACAAATCTTGAGTTCTATTGATAAAAAACGAATCGAACAAGTATGAAAAAAAATGTTCTATCAAAATCTATTCAAAAGAAGATCGAAGAAAATTTTTTTTCAACACTTTTCTATTCTATTATTTCTGATTAAGATTCACCATGATCATTATCATCATTCTCCTTCTCCTCCTTCTCTAGAACATCCTCCCACTGGATTATCCACCATGGAAAGTCCATGTTCGTATCATCATTTAGTCGGACAATCGACAATTATCCAGTCTCTTTCTTTGTCTCATAATTACTCGTTTTCGTAATATGATCAGAACTTTCCCCCCCCTCTCTCTCTCTCTCTCTGGTTTGCAATCAATCCAATAAATCATGTTTTCTGTGTGAGAATGAAGAAAAAAGTTCAGACGAAAAAAAAATTACACCAACAATCAAGCTGATCAACTTGGATAATGATTTTCCTGCTTTTTCATGGTGATGATAATCTCACACCGGGAATCAATCAATGTGTATGTCACTCAATTGAGTAACCAATTAGTCAGTCAAGTAATGTTATCATGTGGAGTGGGTGGAGAGATAAAGATGATTCATTTATAATTAATGAATTACAATGACAACACCCAATTCAATTCAACAATTGAAGATGATGATGGTTGAAAATAAATGGAATCAAGTTAAATATTATCACCATGACTGATTAGCTAAATCAAATGAAAGACAACAACAATCAAGTCTACTATTAGTAGCACCTCTTCACCATCACCATCATCATCATCATCATCATCACGGTTGTCAGCACATTTGATAAAACTTTCATTATCAACTAATAATTAATCACAGCTCAGAATCATTACTCTATGATGTAATTGAAACAATAAAAAATTTTCGCGCCAATATTTGGTTTTCTTTGGAAAATTCAAAATTCTTACCTCTCCATGAGATGTTTTCACCAACTTCAAGATCAAGAACATCGGTTGTCGAATGATATTCACCAATCTTGACCTCACGTCCATCTAAATATCGAAATAAACATCAAAATTAATCGTTCCCAATCGATAATTAGAAGAGTTAATTGTTCTCTCACCTTGAAATTGTTTGAGCAAAATACTTCCTCGTCTTTCATTACCATCGAAAGAAACATTTCCCTGGATGAGAATGAACAAAAAACCATTCAAGAGATGAAAAATCATTTATCCACTTAAAAAAAGTTCTGAATAATAAATTTCCTCTTATATAATAACATGAGCCTTGTTTCCAATGTCCCATCATAATGTGAATGAATCTGAATTATTCTGATAATATATTAATATGATGGTAATTTGGTTCACTATTATCTTGAATTTTCATGATGATGATTAAATCATAAAGGTGAATAATTGATGGAGTTTTTTTTGTTTCCAATTCTTACTCACATCATGATGAACATTTGAATTATATTCATTTGTAATCTCCAGCGTTTTAAAAAATAATCAGTTGTAATGAGGCTCAAACTTTTTCTCAACTAACATGATGAAAAAAAAACAAAGTATAATCATCATGATGTGAGAGAAAAAATTTCCAAGAAAATGTAGACCAAATGTGGAAAATGAATATTCATCATCAGAACTTTTTTTCTCTTATTCCAATGTTATCATTTACTTTCATGATGATGATGAATAATTGAATGGTAATAATATTACATTATCGTCATGATAAATACAGACTGTTAATATTTACCGTTACTCCAATGAAAAAGGTTTCATTTAAGGCTGAACGAAAAATATCTGCCCATTGAACTGTTCCATTGCGATTCTTGTAATCGAAATCTTCAATTTTCAATTTTCGATTTTTGTTCAATGGTTTATCTGGTTCTTTGGAATTTTGAAAATTTTCGTCCGAAAGTTTTGATATCACATTTTCCAAGGCAAATGCTATGGTCCACATACCATCGTATGCGTACCCGTGAAATTTACTAAACTCTTGATCCCTTTTTAAATCATATTCTTTCTCATATTGAGATGCAGTCTGAAAGTTCAGACAGAAAGTTCAGTGGTATTCATGTATATCATGGGAATCGTTATTATATCATCATGAGAACGTGAGAAATATAATTTATGCAAGAGAATTTGGGAAAAAAGACAGACAGAGAGAAAGAGAGAGAGAAAGAGAAAGTATGAAGAAATTACATTAGAATGATTGAAAGAATCATCATCATGATAACTGAGTGTTTTTGGAACTTTTCTCTCTCCATGGAGCCACTTTGCACTGATTAGAATCTTAAATAAAGAGGAAAAAGAGATAAGGTAAACGTTTACTCTTCTCTCTTCCTCTTCCTGTTATCTCAGACTGAGCAACCATGAGTTCCATGAACTTTTCTCTCAGAATGCTTTATTATTTTAGTGAACAAAATTTTCAACTCACCAAACCTGAGGCTGTTATATCCTTTGAACTGGATAAGGTCAGAACATCGGTGGCTATATAACCTTCAAGAGCTTGAACCAACTCTTCATTTGTACAATCAGATGCATTCTCACCCTCTGACTCCCACCATCGATCTCGGTAGCCACCCGATATTATCCATTGATATTTTCGTCCATAAAGGTCATGTTTATAAGCCTGAAAGGAAGGGTTAAATTCACATAAAACAATTTAAGGTTAAACAGTTTGCTTGAAGCTAGAAGAAAGTATTAACAGATTTCGAGTCGCTCAGTAAGTTCCATGAGTTTCATGAGAAAATTATCGTTTTTATAAATAGCTCAATTTGAAATGGCAAAAGGTTCAAAAAAAGTTGATCGATGCTAATAGCAGATTATTAACGATTCAGTTCAATATCGAAATTCATATTAATCTAATTACATCTTCAGTTAACTAAAAATTTCTTATGAGTTTACCAACCAACCAAACATGATCATGATGATTCAGGTTCACAGGGCACATGGTGAGTAAAACTAATCAAGCCAACTACCTGAGCTCATGACTCCATCAGAACTTAATCTGAACTTTAAATAAGCTGAGATAATAATTCAGTAGAGAATTGAAAAGTTACTTTGGTGAAGAATTTTGTTTTTTTAACTCAACTCTTTCTAAATGAAACCAATTACATGGGGAAGAAATTTCCAGAACTGGTTGAAGAAAAGGAAGACAGAAATTGAAATGTTCAATCGATTGTCAATGATCATGATGATGATCATAAACAGAACATGAGTGAATGTCTAATTTCAAGTGAAAGTCGAGAGAGAGAGAGAGAGAGAGAGAGAGAGAGAGAGCAAAGATATTCTCCATTTCCTTTTCTCATCATTATCGATACTCTTTACCACCCACTCGATATCATGTTATCATAAGTTTGTCCATGAGATTGAATCATCTCTCCAAATGTATCGATCTGAACTCGAAATTTCAACATTTCATGATAATTTAACTCTTCCGATGATGGTGAATTATCAAAGATGATTGAGAGTGATACTAATTCACTTTGAGTATTTTGAACATCCTAAATAATGATAGATGATGATAGTTTCCAGTAAATTACCATAATCATTATTATCATGCAATATCCATGATGGTGAGTTTATTGTTTGAATGGGAATCGAATCGACTTCCATAAATTCATATGCTCAAGGTAAATATTATCTTAATATATCGTAGTTACCATGATCATCATCAGAAATGAATAGCAGTAAACAATAGTAACATAATTGATCCTAAACTCATGGGAATCAATTTAACCAGCAGGGTAAACGTATTATGAGAATTGTTCAGTTTTTTTCTGTTCTCCTCATTCTCTTACCGATAAAGTTCAAATGAGCGAAATGATAACTTACCTCACAGAATATTTTCCTGGCAAAATCTTCACCAAAATTTCCCAATATTATTCGGACAGATTCAGCCTGAAATGTAGCATAGAATAATTGAAATTCATTAAGAAAGTTCCAATTGATTATTGACAATTTATTTACCTTGAGCTTTTCAATTCCAAGTTGAATGTCTTCAGAAATGCTTTGAGTGAATTTAAATTTGATATTAACTTTATCTAAATCTGTGAGCAATTTACTATGAGGCTGAAAAGAGAAACAGTCAGAACTTTCATTTTCAGGGAGAAACTCATTCGATCACCTACCAAACTATATCTTGGATGATTTTCATAAAGTGTCCCCACTTTGGTCCAGTTAAAACGTTGGAGTAAAGCTAAACGCGCTGGATTAAAAGCGGCCTCACTTGGCACAACTCGGTAAAAATTGGGATAACTTTCGGAAGTATACATTGGATGTGTATCTGCATATGAAAGCTAAGATCGAGGTGAAAGTTTGGCCATGAAAATCAGAGACGAAGAAAAAAAAACACGAAGACATTAAATTCAGCAAAAGATTTGAGGGATTCAAAATTCATCATTAAATCTCAATGATAGAAACTTTTTTCTCACTATTACTACTTTTCCTATCACGCAACTTTCAGAATCTCTTTCAACGAAAACTAAATCCACCGTTGGTATATATTATCATTATTATCATGAGGATTTAAAGATGAAGATGATGAAACAATGATACTCATCAGGAATCATTTATCATCATTAATAATATCATTTCAAGAGAAACAATGAATTATATTTCTGTCAATCCGATTATCATTTGAACAATGATCACATTTGAATTGAAGAATGAAAATAAAATGTTTTATCAATTTAAACTTTTTATCCTTTTTTGTCCATAATTCATTACAAGAGTCTCTTTATCATGATGAATGATGACCAACAACAATTGTGATGAACTTTTCTTACCTGAATAAGGTTAAAAAATTTGGACGCTTTTGCAATTGGGTCGGTAACGGAGGTACAGGCGTCACCAAAAAGTATCAGTTTCTTTGGATCTCCATGGATCATATCAAAAAAAGCTTTCATTCCAACCGCTGGATCACACTGTATATACATGATAGAAATTGAAAAAAAGGCTTCCATTAGCAAAAAAGTAACTTCCAAATGCTAATCAGATTTAATTGTTTTGTAAATTAAATTTACATTCTTGCTGAACCAACACAATTAATCAACCAAGTGAAAACATCATTGATTAAATAAATAAACAGTTAACTCTTTGATTATACTCATCAAAGATCAATGAGCTTACCTAAAATTACATGATTGATCAGCTGAAAGAGTGGAAGAAGAAAAGATTTGAAAAATTTTTTTCTTCGATAAAACTTTAGTTTGTTTCTCCACCACAAGATGTCGACTTAGAACAGAACATTTTTAATATTTGATATTTTCTATTTCTCTCTCTGTTTTTATTTTTCTTTTTCGTTGTTTCTTTTTTTTTCGAGGAGAATTTTCACTTTATCTTCATCAATTATTTATTCGTTTATCTTTTAACATCTATTATTCATCATCAACATGAAAATAAAGTTATTATTCAATTTAGGATAACATTTACCTCCTTCCACCACCCACCCAACTCCCTCATCTTCAAGAACCGATGAGAAAGACTTGATTGCGTGATTACATCATAAAGTTATTACTTTACATTATTTATATCATTAGATTATCATCATGAAGAACACGGTAAATATTAAAGAAGATGTAACATGGAAAACTTTTCAATTTTATCAACAGAAAAGCAACTAAAAGTTACTAGACAACAAACCCGGAAAAGGAACAAGAAAAGAATCAGTAAAAATCGAATAAAAAATCAAGAGGGAAATCAAATTCTGTTCCAAATTCAGTGATAAAGATTAAAGGGGGTGAGCGAAAATTCTGATAACAAGAAATTGGAGAAGGAAAATTTCATAATGTTCTTGTTCTGAATTCCATTATTCATTTACACTTAATGTTCAACTAATTGTGAACATGATAATAAAATTCTAAGATGAATAATAATCTTCATGTTCTCTGATTATTATTATGATAACAATTGATTATGACAATAAATTTCCTCGAATTTGTGTTTTCATGAGAGATGAAATTTGTTACTGAACAAAAAGTGTGAAAGTAAAAAAAAAATGTGAATATTTTTCTTCAGCTAATTAATTTGATCACAATGATACAATGAGTTAAATTATCGTCACCAAGATGACAATGATGATGAGACAAAGTTTTTCTTTTTCTCTTTCCATAGAAATGAATTCAGTTTATCTCATCAAGTTTTCCTTTCCCATCTCATTTCCTGTGATTCTGGGATGAAACATTATATTAGATAATAACTATTGTTATATACATACACTTTGATGGGTATTTATGGTTATCATCATCATTTTGTAAGGTCACTTTTTATCTTAGTCTAAGGTCAAGAGTATTATCACCATTATCCATTATTGAGAAAATAATTACATGATGATTATCTTTATGAACAAAAGGGTATTCATTTCGATTATTGAATCAATTGATTGAATATATTAAGAAAAGGATTCTTGTTTGCTATCACGTTTCAAGTATATTAGATAATCGTTCATGATAACATGGTAATAATTCATTTGGCTCATTTTCATGGTAAAATTTCAGAGTTTTCTGTAGGAAAATTCTGTTGATGAGAATGAGTAATTGCCCTTGATATTGGATAGAGAGAGAAAAAAAGAGATTGGAATAGAACTTTTTTTTTCGCCTGTTTCATGAAGAAAGAGAAAAGAAAATTTGAAACTGAAACTCAATTCTATCTGCATAACAATATCAACGGTTATACCAATTACCATGATAAACATTAGTCTCAGGTTCATGGGAGCAAATTGTCCATGTAAAATGATTTTCTGAATCTTGTTCAGAACTTTGTTGTACCTTTTTTTTTATCTCCCCTCAAATTTTGGAATTAGTTTTCTAGAAAATATATAATACAGAACGATGAACAATTTTCACCTAAACCATGAATTTCATTTTCCTCAAGAAAATGTTATCATCATCAGAGGATAATTATCACTGTCTCGTGAAAGAGTTTACTCAAACTTTCATCATTATTCATCATGTTGGCAGTCTAACAGTTCGGTATCATGTTGCTTCAATTCAATATGATTCAATTTTTTTCTCAGGGTAAAAGTTCATATAAAGACAAAGATTATTGATCAGATGAGGACACAAAGCAGAGAGAGAGAGAGAGAGAGAGAGAGAGAGAGAGATGGGAAGATTTACGAAAAAACGTTCATTCATTGAGAAAAAAAACTCAATATTCATCATGATGAGTTAATGAAATAAGATATTATCATGGAGAGAGTAATGATCAAAACCTCCTCTGGCTGTGGATACAAAAATCTCACCATGAATTTTCATTTCTGAAATGATCATGATAGTAGGTGGTTAACAAAATGATTCCACCTTCAGAATTAATCTCATAACAATTTTCAATCTTAATTTACATTTTAAATCAATTTAATTCTTACACCGATTATCATGATTGTCACCGATTTTATAAATACATAAACATGATGATTAATTCTGGTTGATTATCTTGAACCAAAATTTCAGTTCCCATGTAAATCTTATTCAATCATGGTGAAATTGAAAGATAACAGCATGAAATAGATTTAGGGGAAAAAATCAGATAATAATCTTATGATTAAAGTCTAAACACAATCAAATTACAAACAGTTTATCATTAATGATTAATTACAATTTAAGCCAACAATTAATGATGATAATATTTAGTCTTGATGTTATACATTCAGTTGATTAATGATGTAATTTAATTGTTTAATCAAAATGTTTGTTTCTGCGTTGGATTAATGTTACTTTCTGGTTGTAAAGTTAATTGTTAGGTTAACATTATAAAAGTCAACAAGATGGTCAGCAAAATGTTGACCATTAGTTAATTTAGATTGTCACTTAGATTATGGATTTTCATTGGGAGGAACAAATTAAAAGTTGATGATAATAGTAAATGAAAAAGTTGAATGAAGATGAAAAAAAAATGTAACATAAATGGTTAAGGCTCAATGGTCAGTTTATGTCCAGTTCAGTGAAGGGAATAGAAAAATTTTAGCTCTTTTTTTTAAAGGTAATTTATTTTTCTCTTTTCTTCTTACTTTAACCATCATCATCATCATCATCATGTTCTTGTCTTCATCTCTAAACATATAATCTTCATCAACAAGATGACCAAAACTTTTTATTATTAGTTTGTTGTTATCTCTCTATCTCATCGTGTTGACCAAATTTCATTTCCTTTCAATCAATCGTAGCATTTGAAATCATATTTATTACCTGTCTTTATGATTGAGAGATTGAGATAAAATTATTTTATTATAAGATGAGATGAACTGAGCCAATATCATGGTGAAGTAGCAATGAACAAAGGAGTGAGAGATTGAGAGAGAGAGAGATGAAGGGAGGAAAAAAGTTCTGATTCAAAGTTATCAGGGTAAAACTAATATTAGTTGTTATCCATTTCCTTTATCATTTATTTTTACTTGTCTTAATTCATGTCATTCTCATGTTGTTATCATCATCACAATCAAACACTTAAAGTATTCAAGGCAAAGAAAATACAAACCTCAGAAGAGAGATGAACATGATGATGAGGAAGATGATGATAGTAATAAAGATTAGAGAGAAACATTTAATGGTAACTATGTTCGAGAAAAGGTTCCAAAAAGTTCTGTGAGTTCTGGAAGGAGAAAAAGTTTCCTGATGATTATACAAAAAGAGATGAGGGTGAGGTATAAGAGGAAATAGATGAAGATAAAAAAAAAGACAATCGCTTAGATGATGAGGTTACATGAGAATATTATGAAATACACTCAAGGTGAGTTCGAAGGGAGAAAAAAACTCAAGAGGTGGGTCATTATGAGGTGGAGTGGGTTTGTAATGTCGTATTAATATTAGACTGAATTCACTTGGTGATTATCTTTAGATATTAAATCTTCCTCTGGTTCTGTTATCCTTATTTTCATCAATTGTAACTCTCAATTCGTGTTTATCCAAATATAAGAATCATAGTAAAAGACAATATGAGTTAAGCAAATTAAACTGAAAGGTGGAAAATGAGGATGATGAGGTTAATCATTAATCAGTTGTGTTACAATCAAGATTCAAATGAAATTTGGGTAATCAAGTTAATTGAGCTCTTGATCCTGTTGACAAGATGAGCTTAATTTATTAATTGTCCATCTTCAAGTTGAGGAAAAGTTTAAAGCACCATTAGCCAGTAAAGGGAATCAGGTAGAGGGAAAAGTTTTATTTCTCACCCAACGAATATGGGATTCATGGGATTTCAAGTTATTCCTAGATGACGATTATTTTTGAAACAATGAGGATTCTGTCCAGTGGTAAGTCTAAGTTTATGATAATAATATAAAGAAGGGAGAACAAGCAAATTTCCTCCTCCTTTTCATTTGTTTCCACCTCATTCAGTTTATTCTGATTTTCTATCTGATATTATTTTTCTTTTCTTCTCTGCTGATAGAAACTATTACATTATCATCATCATCATTATTATTATTGCTTTCGTTTCATGATGTTACACATAATACATAAAGTAAATTGCTTGTAAGGCAAATGGAAGATAGAGAGAGAGAGAGAGAGAGAGAGAGAGAGAGATCTTATTTCAAAGGTAGATGAAGCTCAGAAGCTTAGGAATAACATTTTTCCTACTTGATGCAATTTAAACTTCTATCATCACACTAACCCTGCTAAGAATATGAATCTCTGTTGAAATGGTTAGCAATTTCATAGACATTGAAACTGTCTATTAATATTGATTTGGATCACAATGAATTAATGTTCAGCTTTTTAAGGTGAGAGGATGAAATTGGGTGGTGAATGCAAAGTGGGTTGGATAAGGGGGACTCAGAAAATTGTTTTTTTTGCTTGAAAGATGAAAGTTCAGTTCTTTTGGATTTGAAAACTCATGTGAAAATCGTCATGATCTCAGTGAGTAGTTATGAGCGAATGAATCTATTCCCAATCAACTGAATAATCATCATCATCTTAAACCTTTTCATAGA